AGGGAGTGGCTGGGGAGATAGCTCGGCGGTCTAAGCACCTGCCTGGCAAGCACAAGGACCCAAGTTTGATCTCAGATACCACATGCCATGCTGGCCCCAGAACCTCAGGTGCACAATGTCAGTTCTGAAACTGGGCGTGGTGGGGCAGGCCTGTAATCCCAGCATTGAGGAGGCTGAGACAAAAGGATCCCTGCAGGTCTGAACTGTGTAGCAAGACCCTGTAACAAATAAATTAATGAAAAATGTTTAAAAAAGAAAACATGAAAGAAAAGGATAACTTGAAAACAAAGTTTTTCAAATGAGGGGAACAGGGATTGAAGAGAAGGAAGAGGAATGGGAGGAAGGAAAGGGAACTAAGACATACCATGCACAAGTATGAGTGCACTATGTTGAATGTGACCATTAAATATATCTGAATTGTACCAATAAACAATAAAAAGATTGGGGAATGCAGTTGCATGTTTTTTCTGTACTTTGATGAGAATGAAAACTATCATCTGCTCTTTTGAGTTTGCATTAGGATTTAATCAAAAATTGGGGATACCAAATTTCTTCTTCCAATACAATATCTGGTCTCATTATTTAGAGTTTTCTAGTTGCCAAGTTGATAGAAAGATTAGCACATTATTGAAATTAACTTACAATATCCATCCATTTAACATTGTAAAGACCTAGGAGTATTTAGTACATTCCAAATATTGTGCTAAGTGATTTGCATAAATTATTTAGCTAAGTTCTCCAATACATATACATAGTTACAGAAACATACTCTATCACAAAGGTATTAGAGGTAAATCCTTAGAAGAAAATGAAAATCTAAAGCAGCATCAAAAAAAAATATTAAACAAAGTATAAGAAGTAAAGCCAGGCTGTTATGTAGAGCTGCAGGGGACTCAGGTCAACAATTTCTGACATTGCCAGTCAAGCTGAAGAACCAATACTATTATGGGCTACTGGACTCTTTTAGAATATTTTGCTGAATTAACACACCTATAATATTCAAATAACAGAACTTAACAAAAAAAGGGTATACAGATGAATGTCCATTTTCTATCTGTGTATACAAAGTGGTTAGGATAGATATATAGTTACATTCTCTTAATGAATAGAGGGATTTGTTCTAATGGTGTTTGTAAATAGGATATCATGTCCGCATCTTGTACAGCAATTAACCACTTGGAAGAATGTATGCAATGTGTTAATTATTGAAGCTGTCTTACCAATTTGATTTGAAACTGTCTCATTGCTATTTGTTTCTCAATAAAATTATGAAAAAAATAGGAGTAACGTCAACAAATGAAAAAAGAATACTTGTGCAAGTTTTCCCAGAAAGCAGCAGTGTCAGAATTTGAATTCTGTCTGTCTGAATTCTAATTCTATCTCCCTACTGCTTGAGCTTTATTGCTATTGTCATAGTCATAGGAGTTCATGTAAAAATTCAAATCCTCATCCAGAAAGTCAATTTGTTATTCAGGGCTTACAATTCTAAAAGAAACTAAATACCTTAAAATTACTTTATTCAGAGAGCTTGTTGTATTGTCAAAGGAGAAAAAAGAAGGGATGAACAAGAAAGGGTAATCTTTCAAATTTTTACCTACATGAATATATTGCTCAGGATTCTTCTGCTTGCAAGTGATAAAATCAAGGTGAAACTTACTTAAATGATTTATTGTTTTCATGTAGTTTATCTAGTTCAGGCAATACTGAATTTAGGTACTCGAATGATGAAAGGAAACTGACTCTACATATCCTGATTCTGCTTTCATTGGGGTTCATTTTAGGAAGAACTTTCTCAAATAATGTCAAAAACTTGTCATGAGCAACTTATTTCACAATCGCATTCTTTCATCTTGGAACTGAGCCAAAATATAATCATGGGGAGTGAGTATCAAAGGAGAGGAAGCCTATCAGTTATAGGGAATACTCTCCATCATAAAGTCCCTTGTGCTTACCAAGTGGAGGAACATATAAATCTCTACATATATAATTGAAATATGTATTTAATTTCTTTTATTCCTTCCTCTGTAAAATAAAAATAGAAGTTGGAATATCCTATACTACACATATGGAAATCTAGAAAGGTTCTGAGTCTTTGGCTTATCACATCAAACTTTTTAACAGTACCCTTTTCTGTTAAGTGGATATTTTTAAGTGTCAGATCCTTTCTACATGAGTTCCACAACCACCCATTAGGTTCAAGGATATATTATATAAGTTTATGGGTATTTCTGAATGAAACAGAGATACTGCTCACAAAATAGTTTCAGTTGTAGAGAATGAATTGATGGCATTTATGTAAGTTACTAAGATCCCCAGTAATTCAGCAAGTGAAAAGATTTGCAATGATTCTGAGACATGTGATACTCTCCTCTTAGATACAAGTTAATAGGAATTAACTGCAGCTTAGCCCAGCCCACTGGAGAGTGAAAGAACTGAGCAACATTTCTCCCAGTATGATGTAATCAGACAGTTATGAAATTGGAAATTGATAAAGCTAGTATTACACAAATATAAAAGATCTGGGTGACTATAAAAAGATCTGGATTACATTTATGTAATAAATACTAAGGAAGAGGCATTTCTTCTAAGAAAGAAACCTGTATCCCAAGATATATTATTTTCTTGACTTAAGAACATCACACCATGCGGTAGTCTGGAAAAAAAAAACAATAGAATTTGTAGCAAACACATTCTGCCTTATTTTAAAAGAAATCTCTGTTTTGAAAAGCCTACAAATCTGGAATAAAAGATTTCATAGGGAAAAGCTAACTTCTGAGTACAAGGCACTTGGTCTGGAAAACAGCCAGATCTGAAAATGTTTTGTCACATTTCCATGAGCATTTATTTCTTTACCATTACAGGAAGGAGAATGATATTTGTCCACTCTCTCTTCAACAACATACAAGCTGTAAATAATCCTTTGATCTGCTATGCAAGATAACTACAGCCCTTAAAGTTATCCAGTTGCCTGAAAATGTCTTCACTATGGTCAACACAGTAACTGTCAGCACAGTTTCCATCACATGGAAACCATTCCAGGGAAAACTTATAGTTAAATAGCTAAAATTAAAATTTTACACAAGTCTTTTGCACTTAAACTTCAATGGTAAGGTTTTATAAATTCAAGTTTCTTCTGATTTTAAGTGGAATTACATTGTCTCTGAATGTCCTTTGAACAAATATATTAGAGAGCAGGAAAATCTTTCTAGAAATGTGAAAATACTAGTCAAATGCAGGCTGCAAGCATTAGGAATACTTGATTTCTTATTTCTGATGAAAATTCAGTTATCAAATCTCATGCATACAAGGAAATATTTCACATCGCCATTTAAACATGTTTCTTGGAAATGACAATGTCTCTTTCTGACACAAAGAACATCTTAACCCATTTTAAGGAAAATTGAAACTCAACCCAGGAAGATATTCCAGAGGAGACTGGAATCAATTATTTAATCCGAACATTTTGGGCTGTGCACATTCTTGGAAGAAAAGCCCCTGTTGTTGCACTGCTGGTGGCCCTGGGGTTCTTAGGCTGTGTAAATTAACTTCTGTGACTATGAAGACCTTCTGTATAGGAGCATTCAGCTCCAGCAGAACTACAGTATAAGGTTCAGGTTTATTCTGATTTTTGACAGAATATCTTGAGATCCTCCTCAGCAGGTTTTCCTGACCCTCCCTACAAATAAAATATCTCAGGTTACCAAAACCACCCACCCAGTTTGAGACCCTCCACTGCAGAAAAAACCAGCCCAGAAAGTATGTACTCTTTTCCATCTCCCCAGTACCCTCACTGGGGAAAAAATATACATTTATCTGGATTTGATTAAATAATATTTACACTTTTGTTGGAAAAGTGGCCCCACATGGGTAATTATTTCATATGACTTTGAGTTTTACAATGTGAAATAGGAGCCTTGTCTCCGGCTTTGCTCCCGTCTCCTCCAGCCTATTCTTTTTCTAACCCACCCCCAATGGCTCCTCCCAGTCAGACTCTGAAGTGTCATTCGCAGTGAGTGCTTTTTTATGCTTTCTACAAGTTTCCAAAACAAACAGTGGAGGGCTGTGATAGGCCTGATATTCAGTGGGAAGCAACAGTATCTCCCTGTCGGATCTGCCTGATTCTCCACTGGCAGCAGGTCTGACCCCAAAAGTCCAGCATTACTAATCTGCACTTGACCATGTCCTGGAATTAGGGATTTGAGGACTGATGGTCCACACATATCTATTGTGAGAGTGGAGACTGCAAAAGGAAAGAGTACTAGACTCATACTAGGGGATTTAGACAACAGTTTAGTCTTTTTCATATATATATATATATATATATATTCACAAACACAGATTTTTGTTTTTGGTTTTTTCTCATTTGAGTACAGAACCAAAAAAATAGACAAATAGATTTAGGAATTTTTCTGTTTTCCTTCCCTCTCCTATCATCTACACCCTCCCTCTTTCTGCCTTCCCTCCCAAGTAAGATCAGGTTGAAACTTTGCTGAGCTCATTCACTTCGCCCCTTCCAGGGATGGCTCTCAGCTCTCGAGCACACGCTTTCTCCGTGGAAGCCTTGGTGGGGAAACCCAGCAAAAGAAAAGCACAAGACCAGAAGGAGGAGGTACAGAATGAGCTGCAGGAGAAAAATAGCAGAGAGCAAAAGGAGGAGAGAAGAAACAGCGTTGTAGGCAAGAGACAGCAGCCCGGTGAGTATCCCCAGGCAACCCCTTTGCTCTTAACCCTCCCCTCAGTCTTTCTTGCTTGCTAGATCGATCTGCATCTCAGTGTCAGGCTCGCCTCCCTGTGAGAGAGTAGATACCTTTACCCAAGGAAGTCCTGGCCCAGCCTTACAGCCAAGTTGCTAGCAGCAGGACAACTCTACAATCTAATTGTACAGAAAGTTTCAGAGCATCTAAATCCCATTGGGAATATTGTGTGGTTCGTTGCAGTGAATCGGACTCTCATGCTTGTGAAAGAGCAGGCTCACAGAATTCCTAAATAGTACAGTGACCTAGAAGTTAACTGTTCCTCAAGATAGCAAGAAGGATGTGCTCCCAAATTTCAAGGGGATACAGCGACAGACAGGAATGTCTCTTGGAGTATATGGATAGTATGAATAGTCATATCCACAGAGATATGAACTCTGCTCTCTTCAGTATGGAATTGCAGAGTGTTGTGGAGAGTTTCTGGCTCCACCATCAGGGAAAGGGAAGGCACAATGCCTGCCTGCTCTAATTTAGGCACCTGCCAGAAGGGCATGTACAACCTGAGAGGCTGTCTCAAACCCTGGGGATCTCTGTGTCCAGCAGAAAAGCAACTCAAGACAGAGTCTTCAACAACTGCTTTTTCAGGTTGTGATGAAAGCAGCCGTAGCTGCAGCAAAGGCCACAGCCAGGAAAAATTGGAAGAGGAAGATGTTATCCAAGTGGAGCTTCAGGGATCTGAGCTGTGGAAGAGATTCTATGACATTGGGACTGAGATGATCATTACCAAGGCCGGCAGGTTTGGCCCTGCTCAAGCTTTTCATGACTCACTTGTGACACAGCAGGCACTCAGTGTATCATTTTTCTTATATGTAGAGAGTCCAAATTTGTGCTCTCTTACTCCCTCTTGCTACTCCTTGGTACACATCAGAAAACCACAAGCTCTTCAAGTTATTGAGTGAGGACACACGAAGCCCCATACAAATTATTCCTTTTCTACATATCTGGACTCTAAGAATTCACTGTACAACTCCTGTTTGTCATATATGATGAAAAAAATCAGACCTGCCAAGGTAGGCACTATATTCCATCTCCATGTTGTAGGCTGAGGCCAGAATTCTGAGTTTAAGCCTCATAGATACCATAGGGTAATGTTCCATTCCATCAGACCTCAATGCACCATTCCTGGCCAAGGTCACTATGAAGTGAGACTTTCCAGGCTACCATCTGGTATGGGGCAACCCTTTTATGGAAGCTGAGTTATTTTTTATCAGTCTTCCTATTTTAAACCCTCTCCCAAATCTGTCCATAGACCTTACTGCTGAAGTTGGGGCAAGGCACAGAACTTTTTCATTCTTATTTCTCTTTTATAGCTTTTTATTATGCAATGTATGAAGAGGAGTTATTTTTAAAAAGCATTGTGGGAAGTATATTCTGTTTCAGTCAAAAATCCATGATTTTCAATTTGACATATAATCTATAGTCATTCCTCATGTAACAAGTGCCATTCTTTAAACCTGTTATGAAGTTGGGTTTTGTGATTTTCTTTACCTTTTATTGACATAAGCATTTGTCCATAACCCTCTTCCAAACATCTCTAAAATTTTCCAGATTGGTCACTGTTGTCTTCCCGCAGGCGGATGTTCCCCTCTGTTCGGGTCAAGGTGAAAGGACTGGACCCAGTAAAGCAGTACTATGTGGCTATTGATGTAGTACCAGTGGATTCCAAACGTTATAGGTAACTGGGCCAATATTAGACTATACCACACTAAGTACTGTGACTTTTGGATATATAGCTTTACCAAATTATTCATAATACTGTAGCAAATAGAGAGGAAGGTTGTTCTTCCTTGGTCTCAAGAGTTAAGCTGTATAGTAGGCTTGCTTCTTTTCTTCTTCTTCTTCTTCTTCTTCTTCTTCTTCTTCTTCTTCTTCTTCTTCTTCTTCTTCTTCTTCTTCTTCCAATGTAATGTACTCTTAGACCTCTTAAGTAAACTGTACTCTGTCATTTACTTTGTAAAAATCTAGAAGATATAAGTTCTGGTGACCAGGAGGGAAGAAATGTGAAGGAATTTGGGGAGAAATGCCATAGGCTTTATGTGAGTCTGAGGATTACTGTAATATGGGGTATGCATCTTTGATAATCCCACTCATAATGATACTGGGGTTTGCCTAAGGTTAGTAAGAGGTTATTATGCCTACATTCATCTTTTGTGCTTTCCTTAGCCATTTGCATGAAGTGGGGGCTAAGTCTCAGAGGGTAGGAGAGCCTATTTGCCTTTTTCTCTTTAAACCCTCTATTTACAACAGGCTCAAAGTGCATGAATTGTTTAAATTTAATTATATCTTCTGAGATAGCAGCACAGCACAGAAGCACTGTCCTGCTGATGTTGCTTCAGAGATCCAGAGAGTAAAACAATATGAGAGCAGCCTGCACTGCAGTCAGAGTGTTTGATCTAGAGGCAGATGTGATGCCTGATAGTGCAGGAAAGAGCCTATGTGCACAAGGAGCAAGCCTGCCTGGAGACCAAGGCTCATTTCTAAGGCAAGAAAAAAGTATGCCTCACTAGACCTCTGGAACAATGTGCTGGAAACAGCAGGATAAATTGTTTGATTTTATACTTTGTAGTCGGTATGAAAGCATAGAGAACAAATGGGAAATTTAATTAAATTATATTAGATAGATAGATAGATAGATAGATGATAGATGCAATTAGTATGCATCACAGACGTATACTGAGGAAAAATAAGGGAAGAAAGAACAACTGAGACATTGAGTTGGGAAATGATAGCCAAATCTATCCAAGGCTGCACATGCTATAATTCCTGGTGATGTTCTGGTGTGCAAAACCTTACTGATGAAATCGTCTAGATCATGGTGGGTGTTGGTAGGCTAGCCAGATGTGCTGTTCAGCCCTTCACTGGTGTTTCTTACCAACGCTGGAACTTTCTTCTGGCATTTCTTCACTTTAATATACTTAGATAAATTTCTGTTGCTATTTCCATAAGGAAATACAAACCAAATTTGAAAATCTTGTATTTTACTTGTCCTGGCACTTTGTCATGACAAACTTATTCATTGTTTGTGTTTTGCTTCTGAGTGCTCTTTGGAAATCAAGGTGGACCTTCTTCTACATGCCTTTGGGGTCAGAGGGCTAACAATTAGTGAGGTGCTTAGTATCAGAAATTGGCAGGAACCCTCCCACATTCCTGGTTTTGTTTGCCTGAGCCTAATGTCACACTCTATACCTTTTCAGATATGTGTATCACAGCTCACAGTGGATGGTAGCTGGAAATACTGACCATTCATGCATCACTCCTAGATTCTACATCCATCCCGATTCTCCTTGCTCAGGAGAGACCTGGATGCAGCAGATCATCAGCTTTGATCGGGTGAAACTCACTAATAATGAGATGGATGACAAAGGTCATGTAAGTGAACAAAATCTTACCCTCTGAAATGGGAGATTCTAAGACTCCTGCACTGGTCAAGGAAGCTTGTCTCACTTGCACATGCACTCCTTGGGAAACTTATAAGCTCTGTGCCTATGAGTAAAAAAGACAATAAAAGGCACATGAAATCTGTGGCTCCTGAAACTGCTGGCAGTTTAAAATGCTAAGAGTAAGGAGTTGAAGTCTGAAAGAGATCACCTCAAGACAGAATTCCTGGTCTAAGAGAGTGAGAAAGAATACCTCTTGGGGCTGTCAGGCACTTTAGCTCCAGAGTAATCACTGTGGGCTCTTGCCTTCCCTGGAATGAATGCAGTTGTTAGATAAGCACCTATGATACAGTGTAGGAGGAGGAAGCAAATGAAGAACCAGAATACTGACAACAAACTTCTCCCATGGAAATCAATTCCTCCCTTTTCTTAGAGCATGTGGATCTTGAGCTTTTACCTTACATACATTCCTGCCTCTTTCCTGCCCATCCTGGTGCTGTGACAGCCATAAAATCAGAGAAGGAAGCTACCAGGATGAGGAGATGACAAATATGAAAAGGTTGTTCATCACAATTAGACCTATCAGTCATTGCTTGAAGAACTTATAGTCAGATCTCAGTGGGTCTTCTCTATTACATGACGATGCACATGTAGGCCCCAATTTGAAATTTGAATCATTATGTGATTGTTTCTGAGGTACTTTTCTCTGGAAAACCTTTAGCCATCAGGGCCTCTGTGGAAGAACAAGTGACAAAAAGATTTCCTTACGTGTGTCACCTGATCTTCCCCGGTTTAGTCTAGCCTCTTTTTTTTTTTAATGTGTCAGAACTGGGGGTGGCTATGAGAGAGGAAAAGTGCTGGGAGGTGAAGCCAGTTTTTCTGGCAACATTGTACCATTTCTCCTCCAGATCATCCTGCAGTCTATGCATAAGTATATGCCTCGTGTACATGTGATGGAGCAAAATAGCAGTGTTGACTTGTCCCAGCTTCAGTGTCTGCCTGCTGAAGGGGTTAAAACATTCTCCTTTAGAGAAACTGAATTCACCACAGTGACAGCTTACCAAAATCAGCAGGTAAGCTGGCCAAATGCCAGACAAGATGGAGTGGCCCCAGAAGAACTTGGGATAGAGGCAAGCTGGACTCTAGGATTGAAGTTAATTAATCAGTTAATTTTATTGTGTATGTTGGCAGTGCATAATGTTTACATGCCTTGTAGGGAGTTGGTATAAGTACATAATACATCTAAATTCTTTTCTCACCCCCTTCCCCCTTTTCTCTTTCCATCTCTGCATGTTTTATCAATATATGTAAATAATACATAATCTTTCCATTCCTTGTGGGGAACTGGTACATATATATAATGTGTCTTAATTCTTTTTCCATTCCTTACCCTTCCTATCCCTCCCACGTCCTTCTGTCACTTGATCCTCTTTCCATTTGAGAAAAAACTATCTCCTTATTTTCTATTAACAACGAAAGAATTTCTGGTTTTATTTCATTATCCACAAGTCAAATTTGATAATAAACTATGTGATTCTTGTGTCAGAAAGGGGACCAAAATGAAGGGACCAAGAGATAATCATAAATTTGACTTACATATAAACTTACGTTTATTTAAAGTGCCACATTACAAATTACTGTATTGTGTGGTTGTTGTAACCATTCACTGAATTTCTATTTCTTTTTGTTTTGCGTTTATAGATTACCAAACTGAAAATAGACAGAAATCCTTTTGCTAAAGGATTTAGAGATCCAGGAAGAAACAAGTAAGTAGCAAAACAGCCAGACTGAGTGTTGTGCAGCCATTTTCACAAGTATTGAAATTAAGGAAACTGAAGCTCAGCGATGGAGATTTCTAAATGTTTTGACTAGGAGTTAATAAGAAAGGTGACTAGGGATTTATTTCCAAAATCTTACCTTCTCCCTTTTCCTCCCTAACTACTTTTAAGATATTGCTGTTATAAAATATTGGGTTTTGGGGCTGGGGAGATGGCTCAGTAGAATAAGTGCTTGCCTGGCAAGCATAAGGGCCTGAATTCATTCCCTACTTCCAATAATAATAATAATAATAATAATAATAATAATTAAATAAAACATTGGGTCTCAATTTTATGCCTAGCTATAAAACACAAGTATTTCAGATATTCACCACAAAAAGGTATAAGAAGTTTATAAATATAAATGATCATTTTAAAAAATTGTATTCTTGATTTTTTTTTGCTTTTTCATTGCTTTATTCTTTTGCATATTCTTGATTGCTGAAAGTTGAATCTTATTTTTAGAGGTGTATTGGATGGACATTTAGAGACCAACCCATGGAGACCTTCTCTCACTCTGGATTTAAAATCCTTTGGTGCAAACTCACAAAGTAAGCAAACTTGTAAAATTCGGATGTAATTTTACCTGTTAATGAAACAGGAGCAGCCAGATCCTTGAGCAAAATACACAAGGGAATTAATATATGATGGTTAATGTATATTTAAAAGCAAGTTGATGCATATTTACTTGAGTGAAGAAGTAAGAGGCAAAAAAGGAGAGATGTCATGAAGAAAGAGAACTGGAGAAATGGTGGATTTGCTGATACCTGTCTTTGAGTTATCTTACAGTCTTACTCCAAGATCTCACTTGGATTCTTCAGTATCTCTCCATCTCATGTTCAGGATCTACTTGTGGTCCATCTGTGGTTTGATTTATAAATATATTAGCTATAGAAATGATACTTTAGGTTTTATGAAAATATTCAACACATGTTAAAATGATTTCCTTTAAATGACATCATCATTTACCTCTAAATATCCTTTTTGTGAGTAAATATTGAAAATAATACTATCATCAAAATTAATTTGTGTGAATAAATGTATATTTTAATCTCATTTTCAAACTCTCAGAATCATTGAACATTAGATGCATGATAACATCAATGTATTCTGAAGTTCATAGCGGAGGATAAAATATATGATGAGCAAGATATAAACACTAGGGAGAGAAATGCAAGTTTAAACTATAAAAAAGAAAATGAGTAAAAGATAAGCATGTTTATAAACATAGAACAAACATAAAAATTTTAAAACTAAGAAGCTCGCAAATCATACAAAACTGAGATAAGGCATAAATATGGCATGCTTGCTATAATCTATTCTTAGTTTAATTTTTTATCCTTAAAATTTTAACTTACATATTGAAAGAAAATTACACATTTAATAGGGTATATTATTATGCTTTGATGCCTGATATACTATGCTCATCAGTTTAAACATATTTACCTTCTCAAATATTTTTTACAGGGCCAAAATGTTCAAAAATCATTTATTTCAGTTTTTTGACATGCAGAGTACATTTGTATCCATAGTAACCTTACTATTACATCAGAGCTTCTTTCTCATTTCTAACTGTGAGTACCCACTGATTAACTTTTCCCCATCTCTTCCTCACCTCTACTCTCTCCAACCTCTGACAACCACCATTTAACTCTCAACTTCTGAGATCAACTGTTGGTTTTCCACATATGAATGAGATCATACAGACTTGTTTTTCAGCTCCATAACTAATTTAACTAATGTAAAATATTTGCAAAGTATCTGTTCTCAAGTAGTAATATTATGTAGCTAAACAATAAGATTAATGGGCCGGAGAGATGGCTCAGTAGAATAAGCGCTTCCCTGGCAAACACAAGGGTCTGAGTTCAATCCCCAGTTTCTAAAAAAAAAAGAAAAGAAAAAGAAATAAGATTAATAATAATAATAATAATTTGGTAATTCATACTTTGGTAAAATAATGTATACCTTTACTTACTCTGATATTTAACAATAAATAGAAAAATGTTTTATTTGCAAGTAGTATGAATTTCTTTCCCTTTTGCATTTACTCCATTAAAATTACTTGTCTGAACACTAAAGTTATAATTATGAGGGGCTGGAGAGATAGCTCAGCAGACTAACCACTTGCTAGGGCAAGTGCAAGGACCAAGGTTCCCTCCCCAGCCCACATTCCATACTGGCCCCACCCTCAAGAGCACTGAGCCAGCCACTGAGTCCGGGTGTGGTGGCACACACCTGTAATCCCAGTGCTGGAGAGGCTGAAACCAGAAGGATCATTATGAGTCTGAGCTGTGTAGTGAGACACTATACTAAATACATAATTAATTAATTAATAATAAACATAATTATGGATCAGATCATGTATACTATATTTAGCTTGAATTTTGTATGATATCATGCCAGTCAATTAAATGTGAAGAGAACAAGCCTAATCACTTGTTGAAATATCTCACTGGCTTGACTGGATTGATATGGTTTGGAGAGTTGCATAAGAAATGTGAGTACTTATTTTACAATATCAACTCAATTGATAACAGACAGAACTCTTACAAATTATCCAAATCATTACAATGTGCATCAATTTAAAAACTTAATGATAATTATTAATTGATAATGTAAAATTTACTATTCTCTTAATCATTTAAGGTGTGCAGAATGACCTCAACTTGTAAGATGATAACAATATACTTGCTACTCTGTAATGAAAGACTTAGGCTGTATTTTTATGCAAAAAACTTAAAAATTATAAAATCAACCCCCCTACATATCCATCAAATCTGGTCAATAACAAGCTGTTTCATGAATGCAAATGTTTACAACCATGAGTTAGACGCTTGATTTTACTGGACCATGTAATTATCACTAATTTTTTAGGTGCTGGACAAACATAATAGATCACTAGATACAAAAATCTGAATACTTTCATTTTTTCCTTGATGTTTCTTGCAAATTTACCTTCTGTTCTTGATATAGAACCATAGAAGGAACCATAGAAGTCTCCCCATCAATGATTTTCATTTATTTTTTTATTTTTTTCTTTGTGGTACTGGGGATTGAAATCAGGACTTTGTGCTTGCCAGGAAAGTTGTTTATTCTACTGAGCTATCTTCCTGGCCCAGTTTATTTTATTTTATATTTATTTATTTACTTATTGCAGAACCGGGGATTGAACTCAGGCCCTTGCATTTGACAGGCAAGTGCTTATTCAACTGAGCTATCTTCCCGGCCCCTTCTCCATCCATGATTTTTATATAAATAAAAGAACTAATGGTTTTAAATGTATTATTCTCCTTTATGCAATAATGTTTTTGGAAGTTATTTTTATCATATTGCAGTTGTTTATGTGATCACAATAAATTTGTTTAATTATTTTAACTACTTATTTTAAGTTTAATTTTTAAAGGCTTATTAAATACAAAAAGCTAGTTTATCTCGACATGGTGGTGCATGTCTGTAATCCCAGAACTTGTGAGGCTGAGGCAAGAGGATTGCCACAAATTGGAAGCCAGCCTAGATTACACAATTTCAGGGTCAGCATGAATTACACATCAAGACTCAGTCTCAAAGAAACAAAGACTATTTTTCATGAAGTATTACTGACTGAGTCATATAATGGAGATTAATCTTTTTTTCTTTGAGAAGTGATCCCAATAAGTTGCCCAGGCTCACATTCACATGTAGTCCTCCAAGCTCAGCATTCAAAGTGGCTGGAACTACAGGCAACAGAGCATTGTTCTAAGCTAATTGCGATTCTTTTGAAATATTTCACTGGATAAATATTATCCAGTTGTCCAGGGCAGTCCTAGATCTTAGTGAATGTTCATTATATGATACACAGTGTGTTTATAGTGGTCCCTCACTTATCACAGAGATTACATTGGAGACACCCCCACAAGACGTGAAAATAGGTGAAGTAGCAACGTTGTATTTATTTTCATATTTATATATATTTTAAAGCTTTATAAACACTTCCCACAATCTTATAAACCTTTCCCACACTTTTAAAAACACTTCTAGTATTCTTTTTTTTTTTTTTTTTTGCGGTGCCATGGAGTGAACATAAGGACCCTGCGCTTGCCAGGCAAGCACTTATTCTACTGAGCTATCTCCCTGGCCCTCTTCTAATATTCTTAACCATTTTCTTAAGTCGTAAACCTATGTAATTTTGACAACATACATATACTGTACGGTATATTATGCATTCATCCTCTAAAGAAATACATACTGTAAACAATGTATTTTATTTCAATTTAATAATATTCTTTTAATATGTTAGAATTAACATTTTATATGTTTTCATATCTTTAAATTTTTAGGCAAAAATCATTAAAGCCATAAATATTAAGCATATAAATACATATACGGTACTGTACACTACCGAAAAATCTCGTGAGATAGTGAAAAATCCGCGATAAATAATTTAGATTACTATTTTTAAAAAGCTGACAGAACAGTGAGTTGAACCACAAAATAGTAAGGGACTACTATAGTTCTAAAAGTAAAAGTGGTAGCAATAATATAGACACTATTCAACTCCAGAGGAACAAACAAGTACATTTTCTCATGGAAGAATTTGCAAGGAAAGCTAATCTAAGCATAACACAGGGATGGTAATTTATATAATATTGATTTAACAAGAACATGAAGTTCATGAGGTTTTTTATCTTTTCTAAATGTATTTAGTACAGGGTCTATAGGGTCTCACTACACAGAGCAGACTCATAGTGATCCTTCTGTTTTCAGCCTCCCAAGTGCTGGGATTACAGGCGCGCACCACCACGCCCAGTCTCAATCGCCATCTCAGTGCGCCACGGTGTAGGGCCAGCACAGCACGCTGGGGATCAAAAGCCAATCCCTGAGTCTGCCTAATCAAGCGCTTTAGTCCACTGAGCTATGGCCTGGCCCCCAAGGTTCATGGTTTATTAATTGAAATATTATTCACAGGTGGAAGCAGTGGCTCATCTCCAGTGACCTCTTGTGAAAAGGCTTCCTCTCCTCTGAACTCCTTACTTCTTCCACCTTGTTCTCCACCTATGTTTCACTTACCTACAAACTCCCTTGGAATTACTTGTCCAGACCCATACTTGCACAATATTAACTTGCCTTTTTGCTATAAGATTTGTCCAGCTAATTTTTGGAGACAACAACATTTTGTCCTGTCTGCTCCTGAGAAACTATCAAGCAGCAACTGTTCTCAGTCTTTAGCCCCAGTCGTGATGGAAATGCCTATGATATCTTCCCTGAGCAACATCAATTCAAAGGTTGGTTCATCAGAAGACTTCAATGGTCAGTGTCTTCAAGGACTTCATTCTCCCAATCAAATGTTGCGTGGATTTCAGTCATCTAGTAACATTTTTCTACCAAATCCCATTAACCAGGAAGCACTTGATTGCTCTTTTAACCCTTCCTATGGCTTTTATAGATGCAACATCTCTATGCCACCTAGACTGGTAAATACTACCAACCACCTCAAAAGAAATGACAACAGTCAAATTTCTTTTACAGAAGGCAAATGTAATCATTCTCCTTGGTAGCCAACAATCAACCATTGCCTTTAATGGAACAATCTTATTTTTAAAACAATTGTATGTAAGCATCTATTTTCTTTATTTGTAGTCAAAGAAACATTAATAGCCTTAAAAGTTCTATTACCAGACATCATTGCTATCTGATGCATTTAAAGTGCCTTATTTAAAGTGGCAATGTTCGATCCTGATGTGCCACGCTGGCCTCGCCCCCGGGGCACACTGAGGCAGTGATTGAGACTGGGTGTGGTGGCACACACCTGTAATCTCAGCACTTGGGAGGATGAAAACAGGAGGATGACTATGAGTCTGATCTATGCAGTGAGACCCTACAGACCCTATACTAAATGCATAAAACTTAAAAAAAATTAAAAAACCCAATAAAGTTCCTTATGAAATGTTCCCACAGAAGTTATTTATAATGCCAAATGTTACCTATAAGAACCTCTGATTACAGTGGCCTTGAGCTTCAAAATAAAATACTTAATAAATATTGTTTGATAAAGTATCCCATCAATGAAAATTGTTGCCAAAATATGAGGTCTCTAATTATGGCCCATTTACTATGCCACCTGTCTTTTGCATATTGACAATCACCAAAAGAAGATGGATATGATTCCTTTAAAAGCAATGAAACAATTTCAATTTTCACTGAAAAATTGCTTCATTATAATTACCTATCTGATAATTTGTGCACTTTGTAACTTTATACTCCACTGCTGAAGAAAATACAAAACTCATTTTTAAAGTGCAAGTAAGGGCATAAACTTATTAAACTTATTAAACTCTGTAGCCTAAGGTTCATTTAATCCTGAAAAATGCAAAGATCAAATGAAAAACAACTTTCAAGTGTTAATTTTATTAATCTTTGTAGTCTAAGGATTATTTAATCCCGAAAGAACACAAAGACCAAATGAAAAGTAAAATTTCTAAAGAAATTTAATCTTTTATTTGTTTTTATTTTTATATCGTTCTTAACTAAAGTTTGCTTACTTATTTCTTTAACAAACCTGATATTTTATAACCTATTTAAAAAAACAAGCAATTTTACTTCTGCAAGAAGTTTGAAAACAAAAAAGAAGTTTGGGGCAAGGGCCAGAGAAATGTCTCAGCAGATTAAACACCTGCTTAGGCAAGCACAAGAGCAGGGTTCCATCCCCATTAACACATGCCTCTCCGGCCCCTCCCCCTTGTGCACTGAGCTGGCTACCGAGTTCAGCCGTGGTGGTGCATGTCTGTAACCCCAGCTCTGTAGAGGCTGAAAACAAGAGGATCACTATGAGTCTGAGCTGCATAGTGAGGCCCTGTACTAAATACATTAAAAAAAATTGAAGCATTATTGTTGAAGGTGAAGAATATGTGAAAATCCATGAATAGGAACACTGTTAGAATTTAGAACCAGTCTTCTGTGTCAGTCATGATCAATTAGACTAGATAATAAAAGAAAAATGTAAGGCTTTAGTTTATGAAGTTGAACAGTTTCCTTACTGTAGGTCCTACATTTCAGAAAATAGTTCTAATGGATAACCTACATGTAACTTCTATACCTTTCAGATCAATCAGATTTTAATTTTTAGTGTCAGTAGCTTTAGCTATTTTATTATGCTAGAGCTTTACATATCATAATGGCTTCACGTGATGTTTGCTAATTAATGGGGTTTTCTCATATAAGCCCTCAAAATAAGTTTAAGGATCTGTTAGTACAGCTTCAAAAAAAGTCGTAATTTATTTGCACTTTATTACATTTTTGCTTTTATTGTCCAGTCTAATTTATCATGACTGACACATAAGACTGGTTCTAAATTCTAACAGTGTTCCTATTCATGGATTTTCACATATTCTTCCCCTTCAACAATAATGCTCCAATTTTTAAAATGTATTTGGTACAAGGCCTCACTACATAGCTCAGATTCATAGATACTAAACAATCACCTGAAGTACTTTTCAAACTTTTGTGAAGTGTATTGGGAATAGCATATTATTACTTCACTCAAATATTGCTTAATTTTAAATATTT